AAAAAAAAAAAAAGTTTTATAGAAGGTTGAATAACAGCAATTTTGTTCTGTTTGGCTACCTGAAAAATCTCATCAAAGGAAATTTTTACATATGTGCTAAAGAAGAAGCAAAAAAAGAAACAAGTGATAGATTTTGTCTAAGTACAATAACTACAATAACTTTACAGAATAATACTGCAACTTTTGTTAAACCTTAAACTTTTTTGATTTTCCCAGATAATTGTTCATCTTTTAATATTAGCCTATTATTCTGAAAATTGCAACTAAAATTCCCCAATTTTTGTCGTCTTAATATTTGACTAAAAAACAATTACCAAATAATGGCACTTTAATGTGTTCTTTATTTTTTCTTCAAGAACAAAATTATAGAATAGTTCAAGTTTAGGCTTATAAATTTAATTTTTTTTTGGACACTTATTTGCTGCTAAAAATTTAGCACCAAAATTTCATCACTTCTATTTGCAGATTCAAATTTTATGTATCAGAGTTATCAAATGTATTCACTGAAATCTGATTTGTTACTACATTTTACTTCTATATTATTACCAATAAATTTTTTTTTTTTTATACAAACAGTCATATTTTGAAAATTGGGCGCCTGTCTACAAAAGTTACATCAGCATTTATAATGTTACTGAATGCTGAAGCTTTGTCATCGACGGTACACGTGCACTGTTTGTATTTTAACTGTGTTCAAAACCAATATCACTTTTACTGTAATATCCTGAAGTTTAGCCAAATAGATTAAAAGTGTTATTTTGTCCAAAAAACCGTCCAGAAACCCATTTTAACTATTCACTATTGAGCAAAACAACGGCAAAAACCAATAATAAACGACTTTTGTCAACACAAATCTAAGGATTACAATGTTGTTTGAAGCGGTCATTTTTATGTAACATCAGTCCCAAATATTAGACATAAGTCGCCGAAGAATTGAATAGATTTTGCAAAAGAAAAAAAAAAAAAAGATATTTTTTTTTTTACAATAAGGTGTAGAAGAAAAGTGGTAAAGAAGTAAACGAAGAAGACGACAACGATGGTGACAGTTTAAACGAAGCACAATATACTGTTTACATTTATCAACGATACCGAATAAGCGTTATTCTGAAAACGAAAAGCACCTGAAAAAACCTTTTTGAATCATATTTATTTTTCATAAATGTAACTGCCATTGTTATTGTTCTTTGCATAAGCTTTCAGAATTTTCTTCAGCAACTACTTTTTGACTATAGTTTAGTTTCACCGGACGAC